ACCATCTAACTGTAATGCACAGATTCCTGACACACTTCGCGAGTTTTTGCCTCTGATACTGTTTAAATGTTGATACAAAATACAAACTCAAATGTAAAACTAATGCAAAACTTAATTAGCCAATGCTAGAGAGTTTCAAAAATTAAAACTGATAACGCTAACATTTGTTTTCGCTAACAAAATAAAGTGGCATCTTGCTTGACTTAAAATTATAAATGACATCCTAAAATTTATAATTTTAAGCAGTTTGCCCTGGTTCTAAGATTTAGATTTCTTGTAGCAGTAGCCTAAATCTCAACACCTAGATTGAATGCGATAGTACCTCTTTAACGGTTATCGAATCAAAACTTATTCAGGCTTGCTCAGACTTTCACAGTTAAGATTAACATTCTACTTTTAAGCTATGCTACTTGCCATTTAACTTGCGTAAGCTTTCAAGACTGAGCGAGTTTTGTGATGAACGTAGCAGAATAGGATAGAATTTATTTAACTCAAAATTGACAATTAGTAGAAGTAAGAATAATTATAAGAACGATGCCACTCGAAGTACTTACATCATATTTCATAATCATTGCTCTAACTGCCCATAATGGTCTGCCCCAGCATTGTGAAGGCACCATCTTCCACATTCATTTAAGAATGACTTGGGTATTTAATTTGACTCTTCACTGGCCTTTATTTTTTTTTTGTTCCAAAGGTCGTTTTGGTTTTGTGTGATACATAGCGTGTTTTATTAATTCATTTATTATAGTTAATCATAATGTAGAGACATTAAGTTATTTCAAAGCAGAAGACATGAAAAATGAGCAATGTCCTCGGCAGGAGAAATACCTTATAACGTTGTTTTCATCTATGATTTGTAAAGGACCAAGTTTTGATCATCTGTACACTTAAAAGAATGAAAAATACACTCTGCGTGCTTTCTTTCTTTTCTTTTTCGAACCACATTGAAGAAATAGGATTTTTAGATGTCCGGGATTTATAATTGCATCAGGCTTTTGTTCATGCCTGAGAAATGCTTGAAATTAATCAGTTTCTCCGTTAAATGAGTAAGTTCTAATAGAAAGGACTTTTTTCAACTATGAACAATATTTGGGCTTCAGAAAAAGTTCGATTACAACTGTGCAATACTGAAAAACTTTTCCAACTTAAAAGTGAATTCCAAACATTCATACAGTGATTATGATGAACGTATAAAATACGATAAAGGGTTTCTAAGGAAAATATTAGCTAATGAAGAATATGCAAGACGAATATAAAAACAGGAATCCTATATCTTTTGAGTGGAAATAATGCCAAAAGTATGCTGTTTACTTATTTTACACTTATCACACTTATAACGCTAGTGAAAATTCATATTTCGTTTGCTGCACATCCGTCATCGATAATTCTTCAAAAAGCGAAATAATATTTTCCTAATTTGTAATTATATAATTCATAATGAAAAATTTTCCATTATATGTAAACAGAAGTATTGCGATATGCGCCGTTTAGAAATAGAATTAAAATTACGCAAATTTATAAAATTTTTCACATGCATTAAAAGTAGAAAGAGATGTAAATAAAGCAGAACAAATGAAAAAATAGGTAAAATGAGAGAAAATTTCATACATGATTTAGAATTTAAATAAAAACAGTTATAAAGAAAATTATGCATTCATAAATATTTCTCCACTTTAAAAAATAATTCCATAGACATATGAAGCAGAACTTTTATAAATATAACTTTCTTAATTTTTGGTGTCCGGGTCAAGTGACTCTAATTGGATCCCTTTTAATATTATATTTTCTGCAGAATGATCAGACTGCTACATAAATTATTATAACCAATAATTTTATTTTGAAAGTTTACTAGTACTTATGAAATATTTTTCACAACTGAATGATTTTCAAAATAATGTAACACAAATTTATTAAAAAAACTGTATAAAAGTTTTGTAATATTAAGCTGTAAGGTATATTTTCATTTTATAATAGTTATTTAAATTTAGTGAACCTTTCCTGCCTTATCTTGCTTCAACTTACAACTTCCTACCAGAATGAGTTTTTAGAATTGCGTTGAATGCAAATGTGGAGGGGAATAGGATTTAAGTCAAGTTCAACTGATTTCGACAGATAGAGCTAGGAATTCAGAGTAGTGCGCGTTTGCCTTTGTTCTACGTCTCTCTAAGCTGTTGTCACGCTCGGCCGTATTACATTCCTTTTGATTGTTCGCCGGTTAGTTTAAGACACGGAGTATAATGATACTCCGTGGTTTAAGATTACGGGTCAACTACTTTAGAATTGTGTTAGCTTCCGCTACATCTCTTAGTTAATCGTTAGTAAAGCTCTTATTACTGACTTTTGAGTATAAGCCTAAGTGGAGGCTCTGCTGAACGCCCGAAGGATGGGGCCGACTGTTAATTTTATTTTGAGTAAATAAAGGGGAATTAACCCTTCTTGGGCTTATACTTTCTGTTCTTTGGAACTAAGCGATGATTCCCATTTCATTTAACAGGATAAAAGTGAGGAACTCTATAAAACAAAGTGCACTATTATACAGCATAAAAATCTAGTATATTCACTAAATTCAAAATTGTCAAACATCCAATAATTTTTACATGGAAAATTTTTAATGTATAAAAAATAAAGCTTACCTCAAAGTATTATATTATACAACACACCCTTTCTAACATATTTTTAACAATAAATAAAATATTGCACACAATTACTTAAATATTTAGGCTGAGTAAATTTTAAACATAACTTTTAATAATTTGTCTCTTAATTTCATCATTTTGTCACGCAAATTTTAGATTGTACTGTACTTCTGTTCAGTAGGCGAACACTTTTTGTTAAGAAATATTATTGGATTTTCTTCGCCTTTAGCATTTATCTGTGATAATACAACGCCAATACCAATATTCGAAGCGTCGGACTGTATAAGACTGGATTTTGTGTTAACCGTTTCTTGAGTTCATCAGAAACGTTTTGGCAATCATCAGTCCAATTTATGGTTGATTTGCAACATTTGTCTTTTAAAAAATCTGTCAGTGGTGCAGAAATCACAGAAAATTCAGAAATATACCTTCGATAATACCCCGAAAGTCCTAAAAATGACGAAACCTGTGTTTTCGTTGGTAGGTTTAGGGAATTATTTTATGGCATGGATTTTTATTTCTGCTGGTCTTCTTTGACCTTGTCTTACTACATGACCTAGATATTTGACGGTCGTATGAGCAAACTGACATTTCGAAGGCTTAATATGCAGTTCAGCAATTTTCATCTTCTCCAAAATAATTTCGAAGTGCTCCAAATGTTCTTCCCAGGTTTGCGAGAATACTGCAGCATCGTCAATATAGGGTACAGCAAATCCTTCAAAGTTTCTGCATCATGCGTCTAAAATCATATGATGCATTTTTTAGCCCGAAAGGTAACCTTAAGGGTTTAAATGTTTCAAAACTTGTAACAAAAGCAGCGTAACGCTGGGCTCTTTTAGTTAATGGGATCTGCTAGTAACCTCGAGTAAGATCTAGAACAGTTATATATCTAGCAGAAAACACTTTTTCCAATAAACTTTTAATATTTGGCAAGGGAAAATACTGTGTCCTAGTTGCCTTGTTCAAGCGAAGGTAATCAATGCATGGTCTTGCCTCTTTTCCAGGAACTTCAACCAGTATGAATGGAGAGATTAAATCCGATTCACCTGGTTCTATTACATTGAATTTTATCATCTTTCCTACTTCAGTTTTTAAAATGTTGGTTTGTCTGGCAGACATCTGATAAGGTTTTGCGCATATCGGTCTTTCTGCTTCTAATTCTATATCATGTTCGATAAGGTCAGTACATCATGGTTCATTAGAGATAATGCAGGAATACTTGTACATCAACTGCTTTAAATCTTTTCGTTGGTCTTCAGATAATAGTGAATTCAACTGGATGCCTTGCATAACTTCAGACATTTCAGTATCTGCGCTATAATTTAAACTCGGTATTTCATCTTCATAGCCGTTTATCCTGTCTTCTAAACATAAGCAAGTTATATTTTCTGTTCGTTGAAAATACGGTTTCAGCATATTAATGTGGTACCTGAGTTTTTTTTTTTTTCTCAGGAATCTCGACTACATAATTTGTCCCTGATAATTGTTGAACTATTTTTCCAGGACCTACCTAATTCTTTTAGACTTGGCGATAGTTCCAAAAGTTTAGTCACTATTGAATAATTGCAAACATGCCAAAAGTTATGAAATCATGCAACTGAATTTTTTTGTATATGCTGCTATTAAGATTTAATTCATTCAATGCTTATTATTCAATGGCTATTATTTTGCTTACTATTAACAGAGAAGTATTACTTGACAGCACTGCTTGTTTTGTCTGGCAGACATCCGATAAGGTTTTGCGCATATCGGTCTCTCTGCTTCTAATTCTATATCATGTTCGGTAAGGTTAGTACATCCTGGTTCATTAGAGATAATACTGGAATACTTGTACATATGTACATAGAAATATTAGTTACGGGATTCATTTCATTAATTACAGGATTCACAATGTTTTTCAACAATGGAATAAGAATATTTCTTCTTTGAAAAGAGAAAAAATAAGTAATCTTTGATCTAAACCGCATTTAGGAGCACCATTTTTAAAGAAGAAAATTTTAACAACGTCAGGAGATTTTTGAAAAAAATTCTTAGGAATTGTATTAGAATATTTCAGACTCGTTTTTTAAAATTGTATTCCATGAAATTCTTTTTAAAAATGTATAAACAGCTTTGTAATTTCCATCAAATCATCAAACCCGAAACTTTTGAATGTTTTCACTATTAAATAGAGTGAACAAGAAAGATAATATATTTGTATTTCAAAAAGGAAAAACAAATCTTCACATCAAGGCGGAAGAAAATTTTTTGAAACGGCAAGATACTGCATTGGTTTGAAAACTATTTTAAGCCTCTTATCAAAATTTCGAGAGATAACACAAGAAAAAGGCAGTGACTTTCCTCTGTTTTCTTGACTTTGGATACTGAAATTCGCATATCACTGCAGAAACTAAAAGTGATATCTTACAAATACCTAATGGCGAAATTTAAATAAAATCAACAGGACTGAGAAATAATACGGACACTTTTGTGAGTTCTGCCAGTACCACCTTCCCTGAGTACCTCAATTCTTGTCTCGTATAAACAATCACTTATAACTACTTACAATATCTTTATAACTAGAGTAATATATGGCATTATTCTCCGATTTTTATTTTATAGGCAGCAAAGATAACTGGAAGAAATAATCTATGAGACAGCTTTGAAGGACAAATTTTATAAATACTTTTATATAACACCGCTAACCGTCCTCATCAGCTGTTGATTTTCCATTTAAATTTGAGAAAAAAAGGTGGCAATCGCTGATTTAAGTCAGGCTTGCTCTCTGAGGATAAATGTGTTTTGTTATGTACCAATAACCAGCTGATAGTGTATTGCTTTTAAGGAAAAGACGACACTTTATTTTGTATTCAAGAGTGTACTAGAACGTTTCTCAAAATGTGGAAGATGGTGCTTTTGGTATGTATTCTGTTTCTAGAATTTTCTAATATATATTATTTAAACTAGTGCGTTTTAAACAAATTTGAGTTTATAGCTGGCGCAAGTTTTAAAAATTTCCAGAAAATCACCTAATTAATATTCATTATTATTATTAAGAGTAATAATAATGAATATTCATTATTATCATCATTATTATTATTATTAAGAACAAAGAGTTTGTTTTATAATTTGTGAGTATTTCAAAACTTTATAACAGAAACATGTCTGGGTGTTGGAATTTTGAAGTAATAAGCATGAAAGAATCAGTGAAAATCGAGCAGTATTTGAAAAATTATAGAAAATCAATAATTTATGTGAAAACTTTGACATAAACTTTATTTTAAAAGATTGCGATCCGTTCCGTTCGATTGAGCAAACGGTGAAATTATAATATTTTAAGTTTGTCAGTTAAACGAAGATATGCGAAAATCGGAAAAACATTGTCAACATTAAATTAAAAAAAGTAAACCGAATTTTGAAAAAATCACTTTGGAATGCCCATTTTTATCGTTCGAATAATGTACATCCGTCTCTGAACGAAGATTACACAAATATACACAAGCTATAAAAATAAATAGTTCAAATGTTCAAAATCGTGGTCCGAAATGGATGTGAAGTTGTGGAATAAACCGCAAATAACGGTTATTTCCCCTTTAATGATATGGAAGGCCTGTTTTTAAGTACAGGTAACCCTCGTATAAGACAGTAGATAAATTCCTAGAAAAGGTCGTGTTGTGTGAAACCGTGTTGTATGAGACCCGGAACCAGTATAAAAAGGGGGGTTAAAAACAAATATTTTTTTAAGTTCTACATAACCAACTTAATTTTTATTAAACATATATATGTATGTACAACACAAAACAAAAAATATTACATATTTTAAATTAACGCAACTTTAGTTTAACAAATTTCTTCGCTGTCAGTATAATCTAACGAGAACATTTTTTAGGTGGAATGAGATCGCTTTCACTGTCAGAATTTCTTTCTTCATTTAAAGTTCTGGTATTTTCTTCCCTCTTTAAAAAATTTGTAATTTTACTTAGTTCTGACCGGGCCGATGTAAATTTCTCGATATGGAGCTAGACAGTTTTGCAACTCCCTTTTGAGATTTCGGCTTATTTCAGCGGAAGGGTGTGCAGTCTAGAAAAATGATTCGAGATTTTCAACAAAGCTTAGATCTTCTTTTAATTTTTTTAATGTTAAATTATTAACTGCATAATCTTCATCTGTGCTAGCGTCCTCAGAATCGATTTGATTTACGGCTTCGGAAGCCATTTCCATGAAATCTGCTTCATCAATTTCTCTTTCCGTTATTAAATCGTGACCGTCTTCAACAGCCATGCTGACAAAACCTTCGTCTCTGATTGATTTAGCAATTCTATTATTAGAACTCGCTAAAGATACCACCAATTTCGTTTTTTTGACGATTACCGCACGTTTTCTATTTCAACTGAAGAGGGTCACATCTTCTTCTAACATGCATTTAACGTTGATGTTTTCGGTTCTTTTAGAGACAAAGATACCACATCGATACAGTGCAGTCCTGCATGTCTTCCAAGCTTCCATTACATTAATTGATTTTGAATCGGTTACGTCTAAAATCCACTGTAATGTTCTTTCTTATATAATATGTTTCAAAGGTATAAATAATACCTTGATCCAATGGTTAGAGTAACGAAGTAGGTGGCAGGAACAGTATTTTGACGTTGGGATGATTCAAATCTTGTGGGTGACATGGAACATTAAATATAAAAAACGCTTTGAAGCTCAAATTTTTCTGCTTTAAATAAGGTTCAGCGTCTGGCACAAAACAATTTAAAAGCCAATCTTTAGCTTCATAATCAACGTCCTTCACAATCAACCGATGCAGATTCTCCTTGATACTATGAACTGCAAAACGCTTTTTGAAATTTACGAATCAACCTTTACTTGCCACAAAATCTGGGTTGACAGAGGATTATCCATGTTCTTTGAGGTGCCTGAAAACTTTGAGTACTTTTCGTTTAATAATATTCACACCTAACAGAATTATTTTTTGACAGCTATCATCAATCCAAATACTGAGTGCTTTTTCCATCTTCTCAATTATTGGCGCTCGGGTACGAACTATACATTTTGCGGATATCGAAGATCCTGTAGCAATTGCATTTTTTATTTCTTTTTCATTTTTCTTAATAGTCCGGATTGTTGCTTCATTCAAATTAAAACTTTTTTCAATGTGAGATGCCTTTTCTCCTTTTAAAAGATGGTCCAAAATTTGTATCTTTACTTCTAAAGAAATGAATTTCTTCTTAAACGTTGTTTCTTTACATTCATCGAACATATTTTGGGACTGAAACTTAATGTCTTAAAAATGAAAAAGGTTATTCTTTAACACACCGTGGCTAGACGCAGACTGCCGATCAGCAGCGTGAGATACTTTTGTTTTCAGGCCACGGAGATGAGTATTCGAATTGTGGAAGCCAAATGTACAGGTTGTGCGTTTTAGAGCACTTATTGTGACCTCATGTTGTTCACCTTCTGCGATAGTGAGCTTTCTTCATTGTTATCTGGTGATTGCGTTCTCTTGAGACATGGGTATTGTTTTTGTTGTGCTATTGGGCTTTGAATGTCATGGAAGGAAACGATTTTCCTCCATTACAGGTTAAGAATTCAACGGTCGCTCTCCACTACGTGGCTTGTCTCCCTGACGACATTTGTTCTTACAGGTACTGTTCCGTCTTTTTGGTAGATAGGTGGCGCTCTTGATGCGCGCCGATGAAAAATATTCCACTTGACGCTTGAACATGAAGAATGACGCATGTCTTATACCTTTTGATACTTGATTATGTTTTTATGGCCGCTATAGGCGTAAGTAATATATCTAAGTTTTATCGTTAATAAATGTTATTTCTGTGTTCTGTGAAATTTGAAGTTTTGATTTGAAATTCTAATGCTCTCCCAACCTTGACTCCTGAAAAACGAAACGATCTTTGAATTTATGACTCATGAAGAGAGACACCATACATTTTTTTGGTGTTCTGAAACCCGCGACAAGGGAAAATTACCTTTTGAAAGGTAAGAAGACTTTGATTCATTTGTTCTTGGTATCGATCTTTGAAAACGAAACATAATGGATGATTTAGCAAAAGAGAAAAAGAAACGTGCTATTGTACGTAGTAAAGTTACTACACTTCTAAATAAACTTGAGAAATTATTATCGGAAGAATTAAGTAAAGAACATGTAGAAGATCTAAATTCATCATATGAATTGTTAATTGAATACCATGAGAAACTTAAAACTCATGACTCAAAGATCGATGCTCTCATAATTGATGAAAAAGAATATGATAACGAACTACTTGTATGTGAAGAGTATGATGAAAAAATTATAACGTTTAAAGCTAAGATTGTTAGTAAAGTAAAGAAAATTAGCAGTAATGAAGTTGTTGAAAGAAGTATAATTACAACTAGTAATGGTATTAGTAGTACTCTGAATGGTAATAATGTTGTTACAAGTAGTGCTTCAGTAAAGTTACCTAAATTAAATATTGAAAAATTTGCTGGTGATCCCAGTAAATGGCTCGAATTCTTTAATTCGTATGATAATGCTATTCATTCTAATCCAAGTTTATCTAAAATAGATAAGTTTACATATTTGAAAAGTTTATTATCTGGTTCAGCATATAATTGTGTTTCTGGTTATGCTTTATCTGAAGAAAATTATGATCTATGCATTAAAAGTTAAAAAAGTTTAGAGAGAGGTTTGGTCGTAAAGATGTTATTATATCAAAATTCATGCAGATGTTGTTACAGTTAGAACCAGTTAAAAAGTTCTTCAAATGTTTTTGGGTTAAGAAAGCTCTATGATCAGTTACAAATCTGCGTTAGAAATTTAAGTAGTTTAGATGTTACTAGCGGTTCATACGGACAGTTTATTGAACCCAATAATTCTTAAATTGTTACCTGAAGATTTAGCTCTTGAATTCCATAGAAAAAGAACATCTAACCAAAATATAGAAGTAAGTGAATTAATAGAGTTCATTAAAATAGAAACTGAATGCCGAGAAGCAAGTATTTTGATTAATAGCTCAAAAGGTAATAAATACACAGGGGTTAATCCTAAACAAGGGTTAAAAAATTATAAAGTCAAATCACAAGCTTCTGCTTTTAACACATCGGTAAAAATGTTTTGCATATTCTGCAAATCAAACGAACATACATCTGCCGGATGTTTGAAATTTTCCGACGAACAAAAACGAAACAAATTGAAATTGAAACATGGAAGGTCGCTGTTACAGAAAGCTTTCTGAGATCACATTTGCGGTCGTTTTTGCAGGTCAAAAATACAACCATGCGAAAATTGTAACGAGAAAAATCATAATAAACTTTTCTGCCGTTTGAAATCGAAAGAAATGGAAGATGTTAAATCCGCAGATACGCAAATAAAACTTTAGTATCTACTTCCCACTGTAACACTCTAAAACCTGAAATATAGTGTGCTTTTACAGACATGTTCTGTTATTGCTCAAAGCAAAAATAAATCGAGAATCGTAAGATTATTAATTGATTCAGGTAGTGAAAGAAACTTCATCACCCACAAGTTAGCGCGCGATTTAGAATTGCAAGTCATTAGAAAAGAATGTCTAACAATTTATTCGTTTGGAAATCAGCGCGGTAACTCGCAAGAATTTGATGTATATAGTCTAAAAATAAAAAATAAAAACGATGATCGCTGCCTTGTTGTAGAAGCTATCGGGATAGAATTAATATCATCAATAGAATTCCAAGCACCATCCACATGTCAAAACATTAAAGAATTTATGACTAAAAAAGGTTTGGAACTTTCGGATACAAGTCCCGTTAATGAGAACATAATAATATTCTACTTGGCGCCGAGCATTTCTGGTATATACAAACAGGAAGTAATTTCAATGATAAATGATGGTTTGTTTATAGTACCGACCATATTTGGATACACAGTGATGGGTAAAGTAAAA